AAATAACAAAACACAAATTAGGAGCTCTTATGACTTAAAAAGCTGAAATATAAACACTATTATACTGTACTGTCTCATTTTTGTGTCTGTTCGGCCACATTTGTACGGGACATGTTAGCTTTCCTTTAAACATGACAGTTATTTGCTTTACTTTGAACACTGCATGCGTTGGTGATGATGTGAGTTCAGACTTTGCTGGACGGTGTTTGATGGTATCGCCTGTGTCTCCCGCTTCTCAGAGCTCCAGACTGAGCGATGACAGCCGGCTGTCTCGTGTCTCCCGATCAGACCTGCAGCTGGTGCGTGGCTCTGCACGCCGTCCACTCGCTGTCCAAAGTTATGACTAATAACCAAAGTAGCTGCTGACGGTTTAGTCTGTTTATTTTAACTGAAATATTTGTGTAGTGTGTGGTCTAACAAGTTCTAGTACTCGCTGGTGCATGGTTAGATGTTACTGAACTTGCTGATGTGGTGTTGAAGCCTGGGCAGCTGTCTGCCTTTGAATTTAAAAGAAGCTTCAAACACGACTGTGACATTTTTCTTGCAAAGAGTGGTTATACTGTGCAAAACTCTTGAGTCATCCTTCTTGTTTGTGTTTCATGTTTCTTGGAAAATAGGTGCAGAAATCTATAATCTACAATTTATAAAGTAAAAACAGCCTGTTTGACTTTCAACAAGCTTGAAAGTCAGTATTTGGTGTAACCACTTTTATTCTTCAACACAGCCTGGACTCTTCCCGTCCAGGTTTCTTCTAATTTCTTTGAGTAGTCTGCAGGAATAGTTCTCCAGGCTTCTTGAAGGGCATTCAAAGCTCTTCTTTGGATGTTTCAGCCTTTGTGTTCTGGTCTCACTCAAGGTGATGCCCTACTGCTTCAATAATGTTGAGGTCTGGGCTCTCAGGAGACCAATCCATCACTGATAGTGCTCCACTATGTGTTTTTCTATTCAGGTATGCTTTTACTGCATTGGCAGTGTGTTTGGGATCATTGTTGTACTGGAAAATGAAGCTGTTACCAGTCAGAGATTTTCCAGATAGTGTTAAATGATGGATGAAAATCTGTTTAATGTTAAATTTGGATTCATCATTTGATTACAGATCATCAGCCTTTTCTCACTGTTTCTTTTCATTAAGAAAGGCTTTTTGAGAGCCACTGAGACATTTTCTGATGAGGCTTCACTGAACATAATGTGTTTTTGTGACAGGCTGATAGGAGTGCCTAAATATACAATTTAAAATTGGCTCTTTGCTAAGTTGTCTGTTATATGTAGACACAAAACTGGTTCATCTGTTGAGTTAGGTGTCTTTTTAATGCTTGGATAATAAAAGGTCAGTCATTAATGGCTTAATGAACAGGCACAAGGACTGGACTGAAAATGAAAGGAAAAAAGCAGCCAATAACTTCTGGAAAGAGAAGATTATCAGAAAATCTGGAGAACTTTAAAAATATAAGAATGTCTGGTTCTTC